AAGCTTCGTTCATATCAAGCACGCTCCGCCTGTTTCGGGCGTGCCTCTCCACTTAGTCTGCCAACCCCTCGCTATTTTAGTCCATTTTTCCCCATCTCTCGGCTGTTCTGAAACCAAATCATAAAGGTCCACCTGCGACACTGCCTACTTCGGTGCATACCCGTCTATTGAGGGGCGGGCTGAGCATACGTCATGTATGCTCTATACGATTTCTCCCAAGCCAACCTTGGTCAAGCAGAACCGAATTCTCGGACAAACAAAGAAGCGAGCAAATATAAACAAGTAGCAAAATTTGTATGGTGGAGATATTTTCGATGAACAAAAATGATAAGAAGACCCTCACAAGTTCGGTGCTTGAGGAATGACGCGGCACGGAAAGAATGTAGCGCTCGCAAAAACCCTTTTCACCATGCCATGCGCTCGACTTCTGTCAGAAGGCGATAAGAGCTACAGGAGACTCCTAAGTGGAACCGTGCTCGGTCGGTCATTGTGACACTCCAGTCAGGACATAGCTGTTAATTAGATCCTCTAAAGCGTCAAGTACGGTCCCATTGTGGTCTGTTGGTTAATCTTCGAGAATTTATCTAGGTACTTCCTATACGTTTTCCAGTGGGCATGGTGCTGTCAATTCAGCTTGAGGTGAGCTTCATTCTCTTGAGTCCCACACACCTACAGAATCTCGCTAGTCACAGCTGTTTTTCAACGGGCTCGTCAAATCTGCTCTGAAATGTAAGCTGCTTGTGTGCAGTGACTCAACCTTGTATCGTTTATTCCCCGCCTCCTATCCCACCCTTACCCTCCTATGGTGGCTCTTCTCTCTCTCCTCTTTTTTCACTCGCTCTCCAGCATGCGTTAAAAGTAGCGGAAGTGAAGTAAAAGCTGCGATGTGCGGACTGTTCCGCATCATTGACAATTTGCTTAATAGCCGTCATTGTTCTCATGAATCGAATGCATTTATGGCAAAAAGTGTCCTTATGCTCTGTTTGTTTCCCTACTGGCTCCCCATAAAGTGGAAGATAACTTCCCGAAAACCTTCCCTTAGCTACCGTAGACTACTACTTCCCTGGGGCAACTCTAATGTTTCTGTTGGACCTCATTATTAACTTTTTTTCTGTGAACTTTCATCACCTATGTACGCCTATAAACATATAGAAAGTGCCAAGAATTTATCCTACCATTTTACTCTAGGGGGAAGTGTTTTTATGTGTTGGATTCTCATTACTAGGATTAAGCGCCGGGACGTTGTCATGGAGTGAATAGCCTCTGTGTGAAAAATTGCTTAGTCATTTGCTGAAAAATTACTTGGCTTGCTTCCTACTAGTTTTCCTGTAATGGCAAATCAATCAAATGCTCTGGCTTTTCTCATCCGATCCCATTTGTCAGCCTAGAAACAGCAACAATGATAATTGCTTTGTTGACGAGCTCACTATCGGAAGTTGACGCCTTCTGACGACATAGCTGCCCAAAGAGGTCGACTACGGTCGCATACAGTACCTTTGAACGACTTGAACACTTTACCTTGTAAGTCACCTTGTTAGATATCCAGTTAGTTCCATGTTAGATATTCCAATATTGAATTCGACATTTCCTTCAAGTTGACATTGTTTTAATTTTTTTTAATTTTTTTCATTTTCTAAGTTAAGAATCTTCAAAAAAACCGCCAAGTAATGTAAAAGCGAAACAAAACTGGTGGCGAGGATGTCCCGAAGGGGAGGCATAAACATTCGCGAAGGATTCCATCTTGAGATATAATTATAACTTAGTTTCCTGCTTGTAAAAATGGTAATGACACCTTTGAAGGCAAAGATCACGATGAGGTAGAACGTGTTCCAGTTATCATATGGGGTTAGGCGCGAATTTGCAATTGAGCAACTTGGATAAGTTCACGTCAAAAAGTTGATAACGGTAGGCAGCGCTTGGCGCAAGATTACTGGACTCGCCCAACGTGATAGAGTAATTATCTAGGTTCTCCTTCGTTTGCATGCTCTCTTGCAGCTTTCTGTGGCGTCTCGCCCAATACCCACAACAATTCTTTCTCTCTCGCTTGGCACAAATAGGGTCTTATCCGGAATTTTGACGGCTATTTCCTTTCTTTTTTTCTCACGGAACAGCTCAACTAGCGCCGTTACTTCTCTGTTTCTAACCCAGCCTACCGACCTACCTTTCACTGGCCCATACCATTTGAATCTACTACAGAGCGGATCTCGGAGGAGCGCTGTCGCGATTACTGACAAAGCTCCCAGAAGCTGATACCCTCCCAAAAACGCTTTTTTTCACCAGCTGCTGTCATCAATCTTGCAACAAAATGGGCTGAATATCTGTGCCACTTTCTTACTGCAGCGGTCTGTATCCAGGCGTATCTTTATGCCCCTTGGAAACTATAGTCACGCCATATCAGTGGGTCTACAGGACGGGAGATCAAGGCGACTACATGGGAGTGAGTGTTTTGCTTAGGGATCAACCTTTAACGTCACTTTTCACTCCCCCAGGGAAGCCGCAATTTCACGATGCCTTTTTTAGCAATGACTCCTTCACGCGTCATTCCTTTTACGGCCGCTATACAGTTCGACTGAGATCGATCTGTTTCACCCTTTTTTTTTGATGCCTTATCACATATTGCTTTCATTTGCCAATCCGTTCCCTGCTCGACTCATCTGTGAACACTTAACATTTCAAATTTCTTTTTTCAATGAATTACTTGCGCGAAGACCCGCACATACCAGATACTGTTTTCACAGAGACAGGCTGGTGTAGGCAGTCAGGCTCCAGTGATCCGACAATTCCTGAAGTTTGGAGTCCAATCTAACTAGTGAGAGAGCTCCTGCGTAAAATGCTGCGAGCGGTGATGGCACGACTTGTAGAGAAACCCCTTGAGGAAGAAGCGTTTATCAAACCAATTGGAACCTTCAAAGTGGATTTCATGGCCCGATTGAGGGTGGAGACAGCTTTCTCTCGGTGCTGCTCACTTAGAAGGTGTCTGAAGAGAGGAAGGATGCATATTGCACTTCCGCTAGTTTTGCTTTCCTGTTAAATTACGCGTATCACCCTGATGAAACCTTTTTACTTTTGTAAAGTGTAAGCAATCCTTGTGCTATCACACAACTTCACAAGAGTTTACAGCTTAATCGGCACTGATGTATGAGAACCAACAAAATGTCCCCACCAAGCCGCACTACGCTGTCTGTTTCTTCCGGGTATCGTTCATCAACTAAATCATCACGAAATCACATTCTATCATGAGATTGATGGATTCTTCACATTCAGCTAAGTGGCGTGGACCTTCGACGTCTCAGGGAAGGGGGGAACGGGGGGTCGTTTACAGCCCCGTTCCGGCGTTTGTGGCTGCAATATGGCCACTTCAGCTGCTCCTCATCTTCCTGGTTGGTTGCTTCACAAGAATGACAAGTATTTTGTGCCAAAAAAGTTGGCTAGAAGTTTCTACGAATTTTGATAGGTGTCACTTTATGGCTTCACTGAATTCCACAAATCTCTTCTCAGTGGCTCATCTCCGGCACTGGGAATCAGCAAGTGCAACGTCCCACCCAAATGTCACCAATCATGTTTGCCATTTCAAAAGGCTAAAAACTATTTAACCAAATGGTCAGAGGAGCGCTTGGCTGTGCCAGTTCAAAGGATTTCCCACAGGCGCGATGTTGCTTGAGAAAACAATATTATTTTTTCCTTCTTCGGCTTTTATTTCAAGTTGAAGGTTTTCCCAGCCCAGGTCACTGCTTCTTAGGGGGTAGACATATCAACTGGTAAGGGATACCATACCCACAGCTTCTAATTTACTTTGACGTTACTTTTGTTGGCAAAGCAAATATGTACGGTTCAGGTTGCATATAGTAGAGCTAAAGAGTTGTAGTACGTACCTACGCGTAAAAAAATACAAATGAATAAATACTGGCAGCGGGGAGGGGCATTTTGCACCTTCGCTGCTTCACTACTTTGCAAGTCTCACTCTGGTGAAACCTGGAAGCTGGAACAACTCGACAAGCCACCATGTCGAAACCTGTCAACTCTTGTAAGCTCACGAAATGGCTCTATAGATGGGTCGACACGTCGATGGGAAGTAGCAAAAGTGCAAAATGCCCCCCCCTTAGCTGAACTGTCCCTAAATATCTACTTTTGTAACAAATGGACAGAAGTGGCGGAAATTCCAGCTTAGTATGCTCAATTGCCCTCGCATGAATCATACGCGAAAGATATTATTCGCTGCTCCCGCCTTTCCCCAAAAAAATCTCCTACGATCATCGCCTTGATGAATAATTCGTGTACTACTCGGGCAGGGTGGAATTCACAACATTGCGTGACAGCAGAAGTTCCGCCGTCGTTCAAGGGTTTTTCTCACAGCTCAAAATCAATTCTTGTGCGATTACTATGGCCTAATGAGGGCTCATTTCAGATACGATGTGTCGCGGTGTGAGAGTGCAGGACGAATGGACATATTTCTGTGGAATATGGGTGAAAAACCGATCCATAGTTATCTTTCTTGCGATCGCTCAGTTCATCGTCGCTACCGTCTCTCTAGGCCAGCATATCTATTCCGTAGTGAATTTTAATAAGGTAAGACAAGAGGATCTATTGAAAAGGAATCTGCCTGATTGGGCCAAATGCTTAATGAGTGAATTCATCTCACCCTTCGATGGAGAATGACATCCGAGCTTTCTGAACCAAAAAACCCAGATGCCCTTTTATGCCTTTTGTAGAGAAGGGGTTGCAAGACACACAGAGCCCTATCCAATACACACCAATCTTAGCCCTCTCTATCGCCTCTGTTCCATCCGTCAGTTCTTCTGTGCGGTGTGGTTGTCCGAGATAACCTGCTAGGCACAGTTCGGATTGGTGGGGGCTATTCCTGTACTCGAAGTTGCTCATATTTACTCGCCAGTTCCCGAGAGTTTATGTCTCACTTTGGCATGACCTGTAAATTCATGGGCAAGCTGGTGAAAGACAAACCCCGCGAATGCATTTTGTGGATAGTGGCGATCACTTACAAACCTGTAGTCGCTAAAAGACTCCCCAGTAAAGAAAAAGAAAAAAGAGTAGTAGAAAATACCCCAAGTAAAACCTGGCGGCTTGTCTGGACGAGTTGTCCGAACCTGCTCGTTTTATGCCAGCAAAGCGACAGCCTGCCGCCACCGGCTGCTTAATCGTTTCTTCGCGTCATCTCACGCTAATACCATCTGACAGTGGAAAAAAAAACTGAAAAAAGCGTTGTGAACTAATTTTGTGGTGAATAGCTCCGTGTTTCGGTGGGCGGGACCACTAGGGAGGCGTCAGAACTGCCACTTATGAGGTCCACAGCGCCTTCGTTTCTCTTTGTAAAGATGCGAAGGTGGGATAATCTCAGAGACTGAGAACCATACTACTTGTACAAGGAAGGACGCCTAAGAACTGCTTGGGCG